GTACCTATGTACTGAATGTCCGCGTAAGTAAAGCTCGAAAAACGATAAATTTTTCTCTTCCACATTCCTCATAATGTTGTTGTATAATGCTTTTGCAAGACAACTTTGATAAATATAGGGAAATATATAAAATGAATTACTATACAATTGCTATTAACGCTGCTATGAATGAATGTTAAGTAAATGACGACAATGTGTCAGGATCTTGTAAAATGGAGATTCGTGACCGGCTTCCATTCGAAATGGTGGACGTGTTTATGTTAATGGAATTATGAGAACTGCGGTAACCATTTATATCATCGGGTGAACGGCTTTCTTGTATGCCACCTCATTTAGACTGAACTATAGTTCAGTACCACATTTACGTTATAAAACACGAGTTTTATAGTGATTAGGTCTAACAAATTAATATTCAATCGCTTCTATTTTTAACTTCAAAACGAACAAACTAAATAATTTCTCTTTATATGCATAATGTTGAATACCGCACAAACAAAAGAAGAACGCATTATCATGGAGAAATGCAATAACAGAAATGCAGTGTTATGGTCGGTAGTCCGAAAAGTGTTGGTGAAAAATATATTAATGCAGTTATACAAAGTTAACTCATAGAATGGTCTATCAAATATTTGTAATAGAAGTACTGATGATTTATTTACAACAGGCTGTCGCTCGCGACTTCGTCCGCTCGGAATTAAAAAAGCTTAAAAGTAGCCTTTGTGTTATTCCAGACGATTTTCTACATCTATGCCAAATTTCATCGAGATCCATGCAGCCGTTTTGGAGATACCTTCAAACAAACATCCATACATCCATCCATCCATCTAAACATTCGGATTCATAATATTAATAGGATTAGTCGGATATTTTTATTACATTTAAAAAAGAATCATATTTTATATTTCTATTCAATAGTTTATTCCGTTTACGGAGTGCCAACGGTATTAGTTACCTTTGATGTTATTTTATTTCTCATATTTCATACTCCCGCGTATTACGAAGTTTCTCTTTGAGGTATAGTTAATACTTCTAGACTCTAGAACATCTACACAATAGTGTAACGTCGTATCAAAGTGCGGCTACGTGGTTATATTTGAAGAGCTTTACTCTTTACAGTGAATCCTTTGACGCAGTACCAATATATACATCAGTTGAACTTCGTCGTTTGATTTGAAGTGTAGAACAAAAGTAATAGAAGTGCCGAGACTTACTGTTGATATCATTGTCTACGGCATCCCTTTGTTTCATAACTGTCGCTGACATTAAAGCCGGACAGCGGTTACAGTAAAATTCAATGCTTCTAAACTAATCTAAAACTATACATTATATTTAATGGGAGAGGAGCGAAGAATTTATTAAAATTTGAATCAAAAAATAATAAAATAACTTAACTTCATACTATAATACCTATGGCGGTGACTAATTCCATCGATATGCATTCCAATCCAGGAATAGAAGTAATAATTTATTAGATTATTACCCCATCGTTAGTACGAAGTGCTACGACCTACATATCAATTAAACTCGAATCAATTTCCATTTATTGAATTCCCATTAAAATAAGCCATACACTAAAGTTTTATTTTTTTAATATGACGGATACGTTAATACTTATTTATAACCACCATATGACTATTTTAATTAATTCATCAATCATTAAAAGTGCAAGGGTAATCTCATTTGAATAAATGAATTGGCGACTGAAGACCAAGTGTGTTCAATAGCAATGAAAAATAGTGCAAAGAAAGCATAGTTATTTCCATGGTTCAAGTTCCAATGTTAGATGTTTTTTCATTGATTATTTGAAACCCAAGGTAACATAGAAGCGCCATCCCCTAATTACCTTTAAAAGAAAAACAGATATTTAATCATTTTTATTCATGTCTAAAATACAATTTATTCTTTTCTTCGACAAAGATCGCATACTCTCGTTTTTTTTTAATTATGTTAATATTAAAATCCTGATATACTCCACAGTCGACATTTACAAGAATAGCAGGGGAAAAATAGTTGAGGTTGAGATAAAATTACTTTATCCCTCACTACTATTTTCATAGAGCCTTAAATCGATTACGCACAATTTTCAGTGACGAACGACAGATGCTTCATTAAACATACATATTTATCATGTACATACATATTCAGAGAACAGGCACACATATTATTTCTTCACTTCTTTTTGTTAGGAGACAATAGGTCTCGTTTTAGGACATTTTTTAAACTTAAATTTTGGCCTTGTAATTGTCAATTCACAAAATTTAAATACAAAAAGATAAAGACGTACGTACAAAAAGTTCTTATCGTTAGTAAACTTGTGTTAGATCATTTTTATTTATTATTTTAAAGAAACTCTGCTCGTGTGGCCCCTGCCCCTGTAATATTGTCTAAAAATAAGGCTTGTTTCTTTCATCGACTTATGCCTACCCCGAATCTTATAGAAAAAAATCAGCAATAGTGATTGTGTGCGTGTGCAAATTTGAATAACAAAAACTAATAAAATCCACGCGTCGATTTTCTACATAATGTGATACACCGAATGTCTGTAGAGATGTTCGGGATAATTCCTTGAAGGCTTTTGTTTCCAAACGTTTAAATATCAGGGAGACGGGACTATTTTCACAATCGCTCTCCTGCGGGCTTAGGCGACGGTCGTCTTGCAATTGATCGCGAGTTCTCCCTTATTATACTTTCAATTGTGCGTGTGTTACTCTCCTTATTCTCGGTAAGTTTCTAAATTATAATAAAGTTAAGTTTTTTTTTAAACGCGTTCGCTTTTAGATAATTTTGAAGACCATATTAAAAAATTATTGGTTTTTAACAAATAAACACAATAAAGAGGATCATCATTTAGAATTATTCTAATTCACGATTTTTTGTCCCTAGCTTATAATATTGTTAAAAACGGCCATTTAAATATTTTTTTTTTTAGATATCTATAAAATTAGTAAATTCATTCCTTTTCTGTAGTTTGTGCTGTTATGTTAAGGGTCAACACCAAATTAATACTTTAAGCCCAATATTATGGTTCTCCACGATTGAGTGAACGTGCCGCTTTCAAGCTCACAGGATTCACGCGGACTGTCTAACGTAGTTTATCTCTATACACCAGACTGAATTGCAATATCAAACTATTTTTTTATGCCTGAAATATGATAAATCAGCTTTATGTACTTGTTAAACATAACTTCTATTTGTACAAAACATTACGAGTGAAATAAAAATAATTTTAAAATAAATATTTTTTTAAGTAATTTATTTCTTCTTTAGTATTTCGGTATACATAAAGCAACGATAAAATATTAAAGTTAGTTATAGTAGACGTAGACTTAACATTTAAAATAGAAATAATTTAAATATCTCCTTGCGTCGATTATAGTTAATAAGTCTGGTTCAGAACATACGAGTAGTTTAGACTAAAACTACCCTCGACAAAGACACCCGGATAAATAGTGTCATCGTATGACATCATTTTTAACTATGGCGTTAGTTATAACATTTATTCAAAATTGCAGTCTTGGTCTCTAATGCAAGTTTCAATGGAACTAAACAAAGTAACAGTGATGGCATCGCCTCGTGTAATACGAACTGTCTTTATCCGACGCGGTTCCTAAACTAAATTTTGAAGTTTTGAAGTTAGACCTGACTGCTACTTTTGTGTGGGTAACGAAGCTTGCCTCGAAATTAATTTCATTAAACGCGAGCGCCAGCATTTCGTACCCGTATGTTTTCCCTTATGTACATACGAGTATCTACATTCGTAGCGTTTTTGTTTCCAGCGTAACTCCAGAGGTTGAGGAATCATACATCGTTTTGTTACGCTGTATATGCCATTGTCTTATACAACGCATTTCCTCAGGTAATAAACTGACCTCTAACTTGATTGCTAGATTCTCTAAAATTCTTGTCTTGCTAAGCGATTTTCTGCTTCACTGCGCGAATTTTAATGCTTTTTTTATGGCGAATGTGAATAGTTGAGTAATTTGTGTCCGATTTATTGATCGCATGACAACCGACTTCGTTCTTATTAAAAATCAGCGCTACAGAGAAAAAATTAAGTGGGCTTTCATTCCGACACGCAAAGTGGGCTGGAGTAGAGCTTTAGAAATTGAAAATATAACTTACATAATATTGCTAATAAAGAAATATATACGCACAAAATGAAACAGGAAAAAACAAGATTGTTTTTAAAAAAATAATGAAACAAACAAACAAATTTTCCTGTATTTTTATGTTTTCTGAAAACACTTAAGTAGATTTACCTTCACAAAGGAAAAAAAAGGGACTAAGCTGTATACAATAGTAACAGTAGGTAATACGAGCGCTCTTTGAACAAACACGAGATTTGTAAAAAGGACAAGCCTTTGAAGATAAAATAGTTTTGTTAAAGTTTTGCCAATATTGTCTGCAAAACTTTTAAAAACTTCTACTTTGCATTTCGGCAGCCAAAGTTTAAAATATTTTACATAAGTATGTAAAATATTTTGAAAGTTCTCCAGAAATTTTGTTGATAATATAATCAAGATCGCGAAGAAAAAGCTTATAGTTTTAAATTATTATACATTTACACGATAAACCAAATTTTGATTTGCGATATTTATAGGCGGCCGGCGATACACAAGGGGTGTTTTGCTTTGCACGTTATGTGTCCAAGGTCCAACAACGAGATCATGATTCAAATCAAGTTTCCAGTATCGAACTTTATAGGTTTAGAATAGGCAGGCAGGAGTACGAGTCATATTTGCAAGTTGATATCATTGTATCTTTTAATTATTTGTTATAAAAGTTGTGGCTGCAAACTCGGCCTCGGATTATAATTTAATAAAGATTGAAACATTACAATGGCACATTTCTTTGATAACTCATTTTTCCCTTGAAGCGCATACCTAACACAGTTTTAATTGTTTCCATTTTAACCAGGCTGGGCGTGTTTTTGAGTAAAAGCAGACTTAGGGGTAGAAATCTGAAATTCTTAAATTCAGTTTCAGATTCTATTCGTAAATTATATAAGTTTCGGCAGTGGACAGTTTTAACATTAATATGTCGCTGATTTCCATATAACTTTCTTAATTCTGATGTATGTGATTTGTATTTGAGACATAATACGCGAAGTACTTTGGTAAAGTTTGGATAGCGAAATTTAACTTTATTTACCTATCTACTGTACCATCTTCATACGTAAATTAAAGCTGAGGCGCAATTTACTTAACAATGTTTAGAAGCATGTATTAAATTGAGGCTTAATACCAGACTTATTGACTAAGCGATTCTAAACATTATCTGCTCTGTGTAAAGGGATTGTCTGTATTTTCAGTTTCGCGGCAACATCGTTAGCGGCGATTGAAGAAATTTTGAAGTCAAGATAAACTCTTCTGAAGGGAGTAGAGAACGCTATCAGTATCTCGTTGGATAAGAAGTTGTCAAAGAGATTAACTATTGAAACTTTCCCATTATATACGTTAGAAAATAACTTAGTCTCTGTGTATTTTCTGTTATTTTGTATTGTAATATTATATAAAATACAATAATGCCTGATTCATACCCTGAAACGCCTATACATTTTTTGTTGTACATCAAAACAAGACTTACTTTACGTGTACATTTGATCTTTCTTGACAAAACTATAAGGGTTTACGAAAAATATTTGCTTCTGCTTTTGTAAAACATTTCATCAACCAACTGTGTAATTCATGCGAATATACTATTTATAATAATTCTATCCTTGCACGTGTCATTTGATATTATTGGATCTTTTTGTTTTTTTTTTATATTCATTCTTATTATGTTACTTCTGTCGTTGCTTTGTTTTCAAATTTGTTAAGACGGTTTTATAATTCCATAGATATCTTTATGTTAGGCCCTTATGTTGTAGGGTACAAAGCTTAAAGGTATAAAAGTAATAAGAAGTCATCGGCAAATATTGGCGAAGATTACACTGACTAAGTAAGAAAATAATCAAAATGGGCAAACAAAATAGTAAACTAAAGCCTGAGGTTTTAGAGGACCTGAAGCAGAACACTGAATTTTCAGGTAAATCTATTCTTACCCGATTAATTATTTTTTAATCAACATAATGTGTACTAACTTAAAAGAAATCTTTTACTTTTACATCCTAGAGATCTTATTCATCGGACTTCGTTGCATGAACGTTGTATTAGTAATATGAAGTTCAAAGTGGCGAATGCTACCGCGAATGCAGCGTTCTTTTATTGTATAATTCTGCGAACTGTCGCAGTAGAGTAGGGCACATCGCGTTGCATTATATCAAAGTTTTACTTGACATGCTTTGCCTCTATTCTTTAAAGGTCACACAAATTTCTGTATATTAATGAAAAATTGACACCCTTGTATTATTACAGATGCCGAAATACAGGAATGGTACAAAGGTTTTTTAAAGGATTGTCCCAATGGTCATTTATCTGTTGAGGAATTTAAAAAAATATATGGCAATTTCTTTCCGTACGGGGACGCCAGTAAGGTAAGATTAAATTTCATAACCGGAGCCAGGTCGCCTATCGATCCTAGTGTAGTATCGTCCTAAGTTGTGGCCGGTCAAGGTTATCCGAGAACATTCCCGCCAGGCATTTGTCTACGTCGACCACGCCAAGTATCAGTGACCTCCTTTCAGATGTGCCGCAAACAATATTTCCTTTAACTTTACCTTTATGTATCTACTTTCGTATTTTATGTTTACTCTCATATTTAATTCATGTCACGAAATGGTGTGTTTTAAAATTCTAACATGTTTTCCTCTTTCAGTAGAATGATTATGACATTTGTAAATATAATCTCGCATAAACCGGAATTACGCCAGGTTTACTTTTTCTCACAATCTGTCACGTTTTATCTCGAGTTAATTTCAATGGAACCATTGAATTTTTCCATCCATCCAGCTTTAAGAAGACTATTTCTATTATTTGTTCTTAGAAAAATCGATTAAATCTTTTGTTTAGTTATTCCTTAAGACCGTATTTTATTCCCGGTTCTACAATGCGTTGGAAGTCACAATTTCATTACGTAGTAAACGTTTAATCATATTTGTTTTATGGAAGATATCGACAAATCTTGTAAGTGGGTTAACTGATGTTAAGTAATTGCTACCCCTAAGCATCTGTAATAAACTAGCTATTAACATATGCATTACCTGCCTTTGAAGAAAAACCATAAAAAGGATAATTTCTGGTCATCCCCTCTTCCATCAAATACATTTTCTTTCCAATTTTTTATAAGTTGTATGGAAAAGCGCTCTCGCTCGTTTATCTAATCTTCAAAATATATACTGTTCATTCTATGTATTAATGTTTTAATTTAATTGGAAGCGCTTAAGCTCCTTCAAATAATCCCTACGGTCCCATATGACGTAACCACAATCTAATTACAGAATTAGATTATGGTTAATACGCATGGGTCCGTAGGGCCGCGCACTGACCTTAACCTCGAGGAAAATAAACATAAAATGATCAAGAGGAAATATGTTCACTTTCTTGTATATTTAATTCATTTTTAATACAAATATAATCAGTGTTCTTCAATTAATTGCTAGTTATATCGGACTAATTTCAACTGATTATACAAAATATCTGAACCCGGTAGATCGTGAGTTAGTGAGTGTTTATAATTTAACTTGGCATATTATAAACTGTAACAGTGAACCGGCAACAAACTGTGTTTATATATTCAATTTCAATGGAACTAGGCACACAAAGCAATTAGAGTTTCGAGTTCCGGCGATCGGTAACATTTTTCAGTTGCTGCAACAAACTGACGAAGTTCTTAATTGGTTGGCGGTAGCAATTGTTAGCTTATGTTAGTGTAGTAACTTGATGTTTGGTCTCATGTTCAGTTTGCAGAGCATGTTTTCCGGACGTTTGACGCGAACGGCGACGGCACTATAGACTTCCGGGAGTTCCTGTGCGCTCTTAGCGTGACGTCACGCGGAAAACTCGAACAGAAACTCAAATGGGCCTTCTCAATGTACGACTTGGACGGCAACGGCTACATATCCCGACAGGAGATGCTCGAAATTGTCAGTGTAAGTATACCATAATACTGATGAACTATTTATAAACTTCACTGTATCAAGAACTATTTGGAGCCACCATCTGGGGCCACCAAATAATTTTGGTTAATGATAATTATCTTATTTTACGTTAGCTATTACCCTCGACTTTCTCCGCGTGGAATAAATAAGTAACATAAACTGCCGTCCGAATCTATCCGTCGGAGCCAATTCGGAACAAAAAGAGTAGAATTGAACATGTTTTCCAAGAGCAAAATCGTACAAACATTAAAAACCTCATGTTTCCAATTAGGTTTAATTATTTATGAATGAATTATTATAATTGTGACTAAGGACTGATACTAATTAATAATATTATGAGAATATCAGTGGTAGTGTTTGTAAAACGAAGAAGCAGGGAGCGGTGCCTCAGACCGCAAGCTTAGATTAACTTGAAGGACGCGTACGTCACTCAATAGTTCGTTGCGTGTATACTAAGTGATCGTATTAGCTTGTATTGAATATAACCTCATGTACATGACAACACCAATTTGATTTGAGTCGGAATCAGATAGTATTCATGAGATTGAAGTCTTAGAATTGAGTCTGATCCAATCCAATTTTCTCTCGACGGTTAGTTTAATCGACATCTTGCTTATGTATTCAAATTGGAACACAAAGAACGTAATATGCTTTTGTAGTGAAATACTTATGTGATAAGTCATCACATAAGTATTTCTCGTCCAATTAGGCACTTGATTAGTTCTAAAAACATTAGTGTTATTTTCTTTCGACACCAATTAAAAGTATTGTACAATGAAGAAAATGTTGAACAAAAAAAAATAACAACGAATTTCTTTTGTATCGAAAATTCTCGTAAATAAATATGAAAAACATTTTCGCAGAATTTCGTTGTATAATATCAGAGCTTATGTCAGTAATGCGATTAACAATCTATCGTCTATTTAATGAGCAATTACGTAATAACAAACGCTTACCATTTAAGCCTCTTATTTATATATAAATCTTATAAAAGGATTCCCTTTCAATTAATTTCGAGTAATTTGGATTTTGAGATTTTCTTTTAGTAATCTTGTATAATTAAGTTTAATTTGAAAGAAACAGTACCCGCTTTGTGTAGAGTTGCTAATCAGTTGGAAAAAAAATCCACTTTCAGTGACCTAATATCGTGTTTCCATCAAAGCTACTTCTTTCGACGTTTTTTTACGGCGAACGTAGAAGAATTCTAAACAACGACTTATACTTTTAAACCAATGAATATTACCATTGTTAAGCATTCGCTTTTTAATAAAAAGCGATAAAAAAAAAATAAAGCAAATTTGTGCAAAGAGTGTTGACAATGCTTTCAGTGTAATGGTTCAGATCCGAACTATTACTCGTCAGCATTTGAACGTGACGGTGAATCTTGATAAAGGTGCACGATTCAATTTCTTTTATTTCATGCTCTTACAAGCGTGAATGAAAATTCATGACGCTTACGGAAAAATTTTATACCAAATAAAATTTCATTCCATAAAACTTTTCATAATACTTTTATAAACTTCGAAAGCGGATTTATAACGGCGACAAACAAATAAAGACCTCACGAATTAAATAAAGTTCAAAGTAGTAGCGTTCGGTAAAGAGCTTATAACTTGAATTAGATAAATGACTGGTAATTTATTTATCTGACAGAATCTCTTTTCTTTTCTTAAAGTATTCAACTTGCAATTTTAATTGAATCACAAATGAGCTGACGGCAGAAACGTTTGTTATACGTTTGGTCTGAAAAACATTTTGAACTTTTAAATTCTTTCACATTTACCATTCGCGTTAATTAACTGAACTGATAGTATAATATGAGTTTCCTATATAAAGAAAAAAGAATTTTAAACATTACGATTTATCAGTACAGTATTATTAAAATTATGTTCTTAATATTCCAGGCTATTTATAAAATGGTGGGATCAGTTATGAAGATGCCAGAAGACGAATCGACACCCGAGAAGAGGACGGACAAAATCTTCCGTCAGATGGACACGAACAATGATGGCAAGCTGTCCCTCGAGGAGTTCATTGAGGGTGCAAAGAGTGACCCCTCCATTGTCCGGCTGCTGCAGTGCGATCCGCAGTCAGAGTGATACGCCAGATATTAACGTTGCGGTCATAAACACGGACATTTGACCTTATAAATAGTACCTAACCCTGTACATTATCACTTATCATGCTTCTATAAGCTAGTGCCCGGCTAAGTTACCTGCATGTGACATGTGCGGGACTTGTCCTGTTGCTTGGCTGTCTATACCAGTTTAAAATTCAACATGTGTTGTTATACGTTTTACAATATACCCGTTGTCTTATTGTATTGTGATTGGACAGAACGCAAGGGATATATATAGATAGTTAAAATGTATTTAAAATTGACAATATTTGATAGGTTCATTTTAATTATTTTAGATGTTACAGAAAAATATTTAGAAACAATGATGATTAAGGATCAATGTTTGTAATTTGTAACCATATCCTAATTTGACTGTAAGGTAACAATGGCATATATGATAAATTGCCTCTCCCCAATATACTAGTTTCACACGAGGGCAGAGCATAAATTGTTTGAATGCACAAATTGAGACGGTACTGTTTTTACTGTAAATGTACATTCAAACAATAGCAGTACTGCACTGTTTACTGCTCTGCCTCACGGTTCTGTCCTCATGTGAAAGTACAGTTACAGCGGCATCATATGAAGTAGTCAGGGCATTAGTACTGCCCCACAGTTAGTAAAGTTTTAGTTTACTTAATAAGTGTTATAAGGCAGAGGCAATCTAGTGTAAAGTGAAAGCCTTGCAAGATTAGACATAGTAAATCCTGTTTACTGTTCTTCCACAGAGGTTCTTTTAAAGCACCCCTTCCATAACTTTTCACTTGAATTTGACAATGTCTTGTCCTAAAAAAACTGCATTCAATCTCAATATTTGAGGAGTAAATTCTCACTAATCTATGGTCTTTCAATTCTCCAATTAAGATTTTCCTTTGATGACTTTATCCGTGTTGGTGCCTTAATATTAAGGAAAGCTTCGCTCCTTTATCCTCTCTATACCTTAGTTATATGTCCAATAATTATATCTTAAATGTACTTATAAAGAACTAGAACACCAATTGTTATGCTTAAACGCTTAAATGCACAACCAGACATCAGGACAACATATGCTATTACCTTTTACTTTGTCACACCTAATCAGTAAGTTACTAGTTTCTTACCTTAATCTTAACTAGTCCTCACGAAAATCACAAATACCCTACTAGCTCTTATATATAATCTTTAAAGTTATTGATAACATTTTTAAGATCATTTGGTGATTATTTTCACATATGCCTGTTATTATTCAAAATTTATGGTAGCTAGAATTAAATATATAAGCGTCAACAATATAGTTTACATTAAAAATACATAGCTTGATCCAAAATGATAAACTCTCTTAATAACAATTTACCGGAAGATCTGATATACCACTCTAGAAATGTAACTGTTGGATCTACCTATGTAAATACATACGAGTAATCTCTTAAAGTTAAGTATTAATATTTAAATAAAAGTAACATGTACAATGAAATTAAAAAATTGACAATGTAACGTTAGTAATGTTTGATAAAATTGATTAAATACATAGCGATGTAGATTGAATTTGAAAGTACAAAGCAATTGGAAAAGTTTTCTTTCTAATTGTAAGACACGATAGAAGTGTATATTATATAAACTTGTACATAGTGTACTGAACATAGCGGACCAAGTCCGTCAGATTTCACGGTGAAAAGAAGTAAATAAAACCATCTCAGTTCATACAAAGTACATGTAATATATAACACTTATACGTACAATTAACATATAATTGTTTCAGAACGTTTCTACATAAACAAAGCTGTTTACTTTTTGTCTATTTATTTTTTCATTGTTGATATAGTTTTTGTGATTTATTTTATTCTAAATGATATCTATCAAAACATAAAAATGCTTTCAACTTTTATGAATATTGGCAATTATATTTCATTTTATTAACCACATGATCTTTCGATGAGCCTTAAAATTATTTAATGAAGGTATAACATTTTTAATTCTTTTTAATTTTGATAACAATCTCAATATCGTTATCTCACGAAAGTAATCTCATATAAATGTTTCAAAAACTTAATGAGATTCCGAGCCTCAGTTTTTTGCTCAATAAAATCTGATTTTGCGATTTAGCAAAAAACATAACTATAAAGTTGGTAAATTCACTATGGGACGGCTAATTCTGGCTGTCTTCCTGTCGCTAGCTAGTTAAACAACATCGAATATACATAATGTTAAGTAACATGCGAAATCAAATTTTAAAAATAAGGAGGCTCATGCGAAATATATAGCAATAGTTGCTTTGCTATGAAGAAACAGCGAATTTTCTAGTTAATTTCTATATATCAAACTTGAAAATGTTATCTTCTCGAGTGTCTAGATTCGCTAGGATTTTTCATGAATATTCTAAATTGTAAGTTGGCATATCTGAGTATACCATATCTAAGGCGTAGCTACTTTTAATATTTAAGAGAAATAATTCAAAGGTTTAAAAACAAAGGACTTTACATGTACATGTAACAAAGGAAACAATTAAAGAACAACATTTTATATTTCAAAAACTAAAATATAAATACAAAATATAATATTTGTTATTGATTTAATTATAATATCAAAATGTTTTATAGTCTCTTGTCTACTTGTTATATATGATTGCCTGAAAAATACTTAATCCGTATTATTTTATAATTTCCTAGTATTTAAACCTTTGGAATAGTATGTAATATCAATTTGGATCGAAGTTATCCTGTCCCTAACTTCATACGACCTAAATCCCGAATCGTGTTTTTAGATTTGACTGAAAATCCTTAGCTTACTTTTAATTTTGGAAATACGATTCTTATGTAACTTAATTGAGGCATCTTTTACTATAAATTAATATTTAAATGATTTTTTTTCTCATACTATATATTAAAACTAATACTTCAACTAACACAAATGCTTGTCAGTTTACTGTTCCTTTGCTGCCAAACAAAATCAGTGACTTTATCTGAATTAGTTTAACTATCGGTTACTTCTAACATTTACATCTAGTTTATTGATAGTTGGTTTAATATTATTTAACTTTTTTAGTATGTAATTTCATTTTGATACCCTATATCTTATGCATTAGACTTAATACGGTTTACTAGATGATTGTATAGCCCTAGTCATTGACTTCTTAAAGGCTATATAAATAATCATCTGTAAAGCAATAGTTATGCTGTGATTAGGTTCTATAAATTACGAATCAATTTAAATTTTTAAGTTTTCACACCTTTTTTTAATTTATACATATATATGGTGTTATAAAATCTGACAATAAGTATGTAAAACGAAATTAAAATGTATTTGTACAAAAAACGAACTTTAATCGACTTTGTTTTTTTAGGTATCGCAATACAACGTAACTAATGCACAATCATTTTGTTTTCCGCACAATTATATCAACGATTTATTATCTATACGTTTAAGTGTGTTGTAAAAGTGTGAGGCTAATTAAAAAGATTTTGTGAAAACAATGTACAACTGTTCTAAATTATACATTACGTTCTTTTTGATAAAATGTTAAATAATTAATGTTTACGAAAGTATAAAATATTTTAAGCATGATACATTTACGGGCGTAATCCCAATAAATCCAAATGCTTTATATAGAATCGATGCTTTTAGAATAGCCCACAACCATGTTTTATCTCGATTTACTGTTGTCATGTAAAAGAGATTAATATTTTAATAGATAATTTTAAACATCGTAAAATTGTTGAATGTTAAAATGAAAATTTTTATGAATCTTAGTGGATTAGTCAATGTATTTATCTCTTACCAACGAAGTAAATACCTCAAATAATCGAAAACACCAAGTGCCATCGCGCACTATTCTCGTTGACCATGATATTCATTTTGATTGTGTATTTGGTAATTATAAGCCTTATGTACCTGTACAATTAATGATAAAATTATAGATTAATGAATCGAACAGGTCGACAGCTTAAGGTGATTCGTTTTAATGCAATGCTTGAAAGGTTCTGTGCATGCTACTCGCCAAGCGAGTTTACTTGCCACTGCTAATGTATTCGGCATACAAGAAGACTTACCGTCATTAAATCTTAGCAGCACAGAACATGTTAACCTAAATTACCTCTCAACTACTACCTCGATTTAGGAAGCTATGAAAGTTAAATTGTAACCGCAATTCAATTTTGCTTCTTGAATTGACACTACCTCTGATCACTTCATTTATACAACGAAGTGGTGAGATGATGGTAGACTTTAAATGAAAAAAAAACCTTTTAGTATTGTAAAAGCGAATCGCCTAGTGCCTTAAACATACACTGTGTATATATGTATACATATATTTGTGTATATGTGTATACTATTACATGCCTGCTGTTCAATGAAAACTGGATTATACTTCACAATATGTAACATATGTAGAAAGATCCACAGCCGCTGCCAATAACTTTACTGTCTTCCAGCGCTTAAAAGATAAGATAACAAACAATGCCATTAACTTCTTTGTGTGGACAAAATATATAGTATGAAGAATACCAGTTTTCATGTTGTTTTAAAATGTAATAGAAAGGTTAGTAGCACCACCACTAGTTTATTGCTAGCATTATATGGGTGCTAATTTTTACATACATTATATCTAGAAAGCTTTTCAAATAATTGTTCTAATGTCGGTGACTAGTTTCATCTATTGTAAACAATATATTTATCCCTTTTCAATCAAGGTTTAGAAATGTTGTTACATCTAGTTGTACACAGTTTTGATCTACTCCTTCACCTCTGCTTATACCTCCTGTTACTTCACTCAAAATTAATCAACACTTGAATCTTATATGGTGCATAAGTGTTCTCAGATCAAAATCATTCTTAAAATTATGTTTTGAAATTCTATATTACCCTGTGGTTTTAAATGATTTATAAATATGTAATGTAAAAGTATTCAACACCATGTCAGTTTGTGTGAATATTTGACCAAATAATTATTTTAAATCAACTGAAAATCGATACGGTTTTAAAATTGATTTTCCGTTGATGTAACTTGATTACAAATCAACATAAAATGCGCTTAAGCACTATTTCAGTCAATCGTGTTAAATCATATTTAAAAAAATGTGTATATGTTGATTGTTTGGTGGCACATTAAAAGCATTATAAGACAAAAAATTGTCAATTGATATATCTTATTAGGCAGTCTAAATAATTTGAATTATAGGTGAGCCATCGCCCTGCCAGCCTTTAAAATATGACACCAAAAGCTCGACTTTGCATTTGTACAAAGTTTTGTAGAATTCATTCATATAAATTGTTAAATAAAACAATGATAACTAAAAACTTCTGAAGATATCGAAGTTGTTGCAATGCTTTTTAAATTAATGTTTAAAAACTTGTTGTGCGAAACATATCATATCGCTTTATTTTCTAATTTAATATTGTGTCGACTTGCGAGTAATGTGTGCTTCGTTAACTATTGCATTATGCAATTGTTCCCAACAAAGTCAATAATACAATAGCACCCTGTTAAGATTTCAACTTTAACTAATTATATGCGGAGTTGTAAAATCTTTAGCCCCAACGCAACATTAAAATTACATGTTTCTAATGTAGATTTTGACTTGACAATTTGATTGTTTCGTCAATTTGTAATTCCTGTCTATTATAATTTTCTTAATAATCGATCTTAAGGTTCAGATACTGTTTAAGAAAACAATTATTGTATCTATTTATTAAATCTTTCTTCTCTCAAACTCACTGTTTCAATTCACCCTCATTAGTTATATCTTATATAATAATTATATGTATCTGTTAATTAAAAATGGTTGTAGGCACCACCACTGCACCATAGAACTCTCCGATGATTCTTGATGATTTTAAACATGTATTGAGTTGGTGAACATCTATTAACTTATTATTTTTATATTTGCTAAAAACTCAGTTTAGAGTAATGCTTCTTTAGATAATATTTTTAAATTTAAAACAAATAAACTTTCCCTTATTGTAACAACAATTGTTATAAATGCGAATGTTTAGATAGATAGATGTTTGTCAGAAAGTGTCTCCAAAACGGCTCCATGGATCTCGCTGAAATTTGGCATAGATACATGATTGGGAAAAACACATAGACAACTAAAATTGAAATGATTTAAGACACTGCCTTGCTTTGCAGTTATTACTCATACTGATAACAGTGGTTAATGTGGATTAAAAAAAAACTCTCTGGCATTTCCTATTTATTTCAAAATGCTTATGGTTATTATAATAGATTTGGTCAATTTCACTTAAACTTATAAAACATAACAATAAAACATTCACACACACCTCACATATTGCCACACAATACTTTCACACAAATTTTCACCCCCACTTTCAACCTATTATAACAATTTCGTATAAAAGTGATGGTAAGTTCAGTTTCTGACGAAGGGATGTCAGGTTTTTCTTTCGCGCATGTAATTTTTTTAGCTACAAAAGACATGGTGTCTTTTGTGTCATATAACTCCGAGAAGTACTTTTTCCAGCGCTCTAGCTCATCACATACATTCATGAGTAAACACTCGTCTTTCTTACTAGTTTGGTTCATTGGTTTTGGAACATGGTGAAAAGTTTTGCTGAAGTCGTCATTTTTTTACACCTTTTTGAACTGCTTTAATAACTTCTCAGCATTTTCCAAACTTCTCTTGGTAACTTGATATCTCTTTCGCAACCGGAACACTTTCCGGCGAATATTTTTAAACATCTTTTGATATATTTTATATGTTGTTGCATCTGGCTTCACATTGTTGTGATAAATTCCTGTAAAACAAAACAGTTACTAAGTAAGACATTAATTATACAGGATATCTGGTTATGACATATATTATGGAGTATCACACCTGTGATTTTGACACACTTTGCATATGCATCTTATCAGAATTTGATTAACTATACTTGTGTTGAGTGACAAAAACAATGGAACTTCAGAGGAAGCTGGCCTAGCATGTATTGTAATTTGCAAATAGGCCAGCATGATCTTAATAGCAGGGGGACAGTAAAGGGCTGGATTGCTATAATTAAAAATTCTTACTTATTGGCTTCCTTACATCCGGTCTCTTAGCAGAAACACTATAGTTATGTTCTATTGATATGCGATGTAGCAAAGGCTGCAATTCATCCAAGTTTGTACACACAGTTGGGGGAGAACCTGACCTTGATTGCATACCCAAAGGATCAGCTGTAAGTATAATTAAAAGAATATATTAGTTTATATAATAATAATAATAAGTAATATTACCAATACTCCATCACCAGTTCTGGAAAATAATCATATCATGATCTAGGGCCCAATCTACCATCAATGTACCATAAATTTAGATGCTAAGTATATATCATTATAGGTAATAATAAACATGCATGTTATTTATAACGAGAAGAAAATATAAAGAAAACTAAAAAAAGAAAACCTCTTTTTATACAAATCAGTTCTGCACAGTAGTTGAGACATTTTGTATTATTTAATGTTAAAGTAAACTATATTGTAGGTTTTCTATTGCAGTGTTTCTTTTTGTTTGTATATTTAATAAGATATTTCAGAAAAGATAATATTGCTTAAGGGCTATCTATATCAATTATCAATGCTGAATATAGAGGTAAAAAAACACAACACTGTGATGTTAAAAATAACGAACAAGTTTACTTACCCGGCAAAAACAAAGATGGTATTGCTAATACACTGAGACGGTGATTTCGAATTCTATCTGTATCAATAAAATGACGGTCACATACTCTGTATTTTTTATAATCAAATTCGTCAGGATTTTCGTTACCAGTTACAATTTTAACCCAAGCTTTATGTTGTTCGGGATATTTGTTTGGATTTGGTAATATGTGAAGCAATCCTCCTGGAACAAAAATTAATGATGAGTGATACTTCAATATGCAGTAAAGTTTTTAGAAATAATGGTAAATAAAATAATTTTAAGCTTTCAACTTCTACGGTGACCATTTTGTAAACTAAATGTCATTGTTACACGAGACGACGTTAACAGATGTTGAGTAAAAAACACGCTCGCAGTTCGTTTTCCACTAAATGTATTTAAAAAAAATAGAAAATTCTTATTATTGTGTACTTACGTATTTGTGGAGGGCACCCTAATGCACAACGCCTAGGCATAGTGAATGGCGCACCAAAACTTCTAAACACTAGGTTATATCGCAAATATAATAAGCGTCTTTACGCAATAATATACAAAACTACAGAAATGCGGGGGAGGGCGAACATAAAAGGAAGAAAAGCGCAGTAGCTAGAAAATAAGGAAAAGATACACAGGAACACAAAATGCACAGCACATTAATAACACACAAATCCAAAACAACGAAGAATATGCAACTACTTCTTTGCTATATAAAGAATAATAAATGTGAATCATGAAAACTATAGATAATAAACTATATAGGGAATAATGGGGTTGATTTGACAGAGTCAGTCCATGTTAATGTTTTGGCCCATTTAACGCAAAAACACATTTTTTATAACTCTTGTCGAAATTAATCGAAGTAAACTACTAAAACATATGCTACAACTAATGTACTTACATTTCACATTTAAAAAACTTAAAGAAAATATTAATTTAAAGAGCACTGGTTAGCCACAGCAGGTTCAGAGTTCATTAAAATTGTAAATTCCTTATCACTTTTTCTAACTACTACCATTTTTAATTATTGATATTTTGTTACTCAAATGCTGTTTGTGATAGATGATAGAAGAGATGTTCTAGTAGTCATTTTTGTGATTGTTATAATCATATTTTATATACTCTTTGGTTATAATGGTTATTTTTCTGTGGCTTAAAATATGATGGATCACTACTGTCTTAAAATATGTGCTGAATATAGTTATTGCCATAGCATTTTATAGTCTTGCCCACCGCTAGGATATGAATACCGCCCACCCCATTTGCCATGACCGGCGGTGTATGTATGGTTTCCCCTTTGCCATAGACTTTGTACTTGATAAGTAGAACACAATTTATATACTCTATACACTCTATATACTCTTTGAAGTAGAATGTAGATTGTGGGTTGAATTTTATATACTCTTTGGTTGTGTGGTTGTGGTTTATTTTTATTGTTTTGTTGGTTGATCGGTCGACGCGACGTTAATCCTGATTAGCCTTTGCAAATTGCCTAAAATATATATATATAATATTTATTATTCAATAAAAATACTTCAATAAATTGTGTTGCAAACGTTGCTTAAAAAGAAGATCTAATTATGGGTGAGTTATTCGTAACAAATTTTATGTTTAGCTTTTGAAAATATACATAAACTGTATGTTTCCGTTTTAGAACATATAGGCGACGAACAAGAGAAATTGAAAAGATTTCTCCGAGAGGCAGACCTTCAACAATACTATATGGTGTTCAGGTAGAAAACTTCTAAGAACCTATTTTTCCTCCTTGCATTTTGCTTTTTATTTAGGATGACCGTCTTGGTATATTTTTGGTAGTAAATCAATTCAGAAAACATGTCTAGTACTGTTTGCGCCAGGGATCTCCGAGGTCGTAGTCTTATTAAATATTTATCTCATCAGAATCTAAGGAAACCTATACCTACTTATACTTTTACACTGTGCCTGTCTATTCTATATCTGCACTATTCAGATTTAGATCACAATTCCAAGTAAAACTTCACATACCAATGTACTGCAACATAGTCGAAAATTTTTGCATGTGAGCTTTACTTTCTCAATATGGGGGTAATATTAGCATACATTTATAACGAAGGGCTTCACTCAAGTTTGAAGTCTAATCAAGAGTTGATTTTCAAAGTATTGTTATTATAGTTAATTACAACACTGGAGAAATTTACCCCTACAAAATACATCTAAAGTCTTTTTCTTTTGCCTTGCTTACATTGGATATACACTTAGTAGGACACCTGTATGTACTGAAATTTTGTTTCACATGAAAGTAATCATTTTCTCTTCCATAGGCAATTTTTTTCCTTATGGAAAATAGATGTATTTACCCAACATATTCTGTTTTTAAAGAGACTTGAAATGTAATATGTTCCACCTTAACACGAAATCAAGGAACTATTATGTACCTTACAACAACAAATTTTATAAATGTATTGCGAAGGGCACATTATGTGGCTTTTAATGGCTGTGTGATTATCTTTACGAGATTAGCATTCATTTGGAATGCAATGTAGATGCTTTTGTGTGAATGCTGCTGCTTAGAATATATACAGGCTTGTAACATAAATAAAATAATATACATATATGGCATCGCTCATCATGTCAGTGGTTATTGTTAAACTTATAATTTCCTTTTAGAGATGTTCTTAAGATAAACAAACTTACACAATTAAAGTATGTTATAAGTGGTGATTTAAATCAAATTGGATTTTCAAAACCTGAGCAGAGGCGATACAGAAAACAATATTCAAGATACTTTCCAAATCCATATTTAAATAAACTTAAACAACTTCTAACTGCTAGCAGAAGAAATGAACCAGTAAGTTGGATATGTTTTTATCAGATCAGATAGCAATCCGTTGAAATGCAACTTTTAATGGAAGATCTTTTATTTCAAAGGTAACCCTTGGTCATGGTTCTATTTCTATTGACTTGCAACCTAACCCAGAAAGTGCTACAGTACCTACCAAACACATAATATCCATTGAAGATATAAATATCAACAAAGAGTTAGGTATGGGACAGTTTGGAGTTGTGCAACAGGGTACTTGGACCACGGGCAATCAAAGAGTAAGTTTAATATTTCTACAAAATGAAATTCGATTTATAAACTAAACAGCGTTAGTAAAATGTAGAGGTTAGTAAGGAAAAAATAACCGGACATATTCTAGAAAAATGTGACAACCAAAACAGATCGGAGACATCTTCGTATTGGTAGAATAGTTGGACTATCTCGAGTCTGTTTTGATTATGAATATACATTTGATTTTTAAAAATTACAGTAAAAATTTGTCTAATATTTATCTTGGACAAAGATAATTGTAGAATTGACATTCAGATTGTTTATTTTTAATTTTACAAATATTTCAGCTGCAAGTAGCTATAAAATGCTTAGGCCAAGAACGCATGACCTCAAATTCGTCAGAATTTCTGAAGGAGGCCGCAGTTATGCACAATATTGAGCATCCTAACATTGTCAGGTTACATGGTGTTGTGTTACACCTGGATTCCTTGATGTTGGTAAGTAATATTTTTTTTATTTTATTACCGATTGTATATTCATTATTCTATGACGTTGTTTTGCTTGGGTAATAATATATTCCACTTTGAAAACTCTGAAGCTACTGCATATATGAATTTCGATCGTATTATTTTGTTGCGACGCAATTGTATGACGTAAGAGGACTATGTCTTGCGTCATTACGGCTGCCGCTATGGGTTTAAATGACGTACATGTAACTTATCGTTGGTTTCTTAGGTAAAATATCTGTATAAAACATATTGTCATCCCAGTCATTATCTTTGATAAAACAGAAACAAAATGTTTTAAATAAATTTTGTTATCCGAAACCTACGGTTAGTATGTTAATACCGCTTTAATTTGACTGGATGTTAAACATCGACCATTTATTTTTTGCCTTACTAATAGGAAGGAATGATATTACTCCCAAATATCTTAGTAATATTAGAATTGCGAATATTTAGAGGGATGGATGTTCATTATAAGGTATCTCCAATACGCAACCTAAACGAATTTGTATTTCATTCAATATTAAATATCTTAAAACGTATATTCGCGTGTTATATGCTATTGTAGAAGATTTTTTTCCGAAGGTTACATAATAAACTTTCGCTTTCAGGTGACAGAGTTGGCTCCACTCCGTTCACTTCTGGAGTGTCTGCGCGAGGTGTCACTTCGAGCAAGCTTCCCTGTATCGAACCTTTGTGAGTTCGCACAACAGATCTGTGATGGTATGACTTATCTAGAAAACAAAAGACTGATTCATAGGTTTGTGTTATTATATATTTTTTATTCTACCATGCATTCAAAGATTAATCTTCAGGTCAAATAACTTTGATCAATGTATAGAGTAGCTTCAAATATTTAGGTTATAAATAATAATATTGTCATTATTATAATGGCCAAGAGCCTATGCTTTAGAAAAAACTCTTATCGCACAAACCTTATTTTTGGAAACAGAAAGCGATGACATAGTAAGTTTAAAATACAAGAATGTCTTCATTTATATTGCAGTTTGATTATGTTATATTACTGAAAAAAACAAAAAAAAAATTGTGTATTCCTGAATCCCATACAAAAAGTAATCATAATTTTTTTTTCAGGGATTTAGCAGCAAGAAATATCTTAGTATTTAGCAAATATAGAGTAAAGATCTCGGATTTCGGCTTATCGCGTGCATTGGGCGTAGGCAAGGATTATTATCAAACTAATTACAATGTGAATCTCAAATTGCCTGTAGCCTGGTTAGTACATATGTTTATATCCATTAAAGACTAACTCTTACATTTATTTAGTATAAAATCATTTATACATTGTGTAACAAAAACCAGTGTAATATTTAAAATTGATTTTGTTTTAAAAAATACTGAAACAAGTTCCAATGTCACCGAATTGCAAAATATTTTTTTGTGATTATAAATGAGATGTATTCCGACCAATGTCAAATAACAATATGTAAATACCTAATTATTCATACGACTTTGTAGGTGCGCACCAGAATGTATTTTATATTTGCGTTTCACTTCGGCAAGCGATGTCTGGGCGTTCGGAGTTTGCCTTTGGGAGATGTTTACTTATGGATTCCAGCCGTGGGCAGCTTTCTCGGGACATCAGATTTTAGAAGCAATAGATGAACCAAATTGTCAAGTATGTTTTTATGCATTCTATAGCCAAATTGTCATACAAAATTATTAATATAGATATTACTAGCAATTAATAATAATTTTTTGTATATCATAATCCATTCACTTTTGCTGTTAATTTTATTTGACATGTTTTTTTCATCTTTCAGAGATTGGAAAGGCCTGAATGTTGCCCTGATGAATATTATTCCACGATGTTAGAGTGTTGGGCTCATGATCCAAATTGTAGACCCAAGTTCAAAGAATTAATGCCAAAGCTACATGCAATACAACCAATCCAGGTTAGATTAAATATGTTTTTATTATGTGCTGCGTGTGAAACAAGTTTGTAGTGGTTTAAACCAGTCCTAGCTAGTCAATCACTATTTTTTTTTCTTGTTCGTCTGTTTTTGCTTTCACAGTGTGTTTTTGTATGAATATTTTGGTAGTGGAAATCTAATATTGTAAAACTTTCTGCTAATTTGCATTGCTATATGAATTTTAATCTTAATTTTATAATATTTTCAATGCAAGTTTGGATTGATGTATATTTGTTAAAAGTTATCTCCGGAACGGCTGCATGGATTTATATGAAATTTGGTACAGATGTAGGATACATATAGTATATTATGTATAGCCTATTACATATAGGCTACATACTATGTTTTATTTAGTTTCGACGGTGACAAAGTCGCGGGTGACAGCTAGCATGCATATAATTCTAAAGCTTACATAGCTCTAGAATGATATATGTATTTATAAAGATGAATAAAATAATTGCATTGCGTAATGCTTAAGAATTAACAATTTTATTTTTATTTCAGGTTCAAGCAATTGCTGATTTTTTTGAACCACCAGATGGCAGGCGAAGTAATTTTCTTGAATATAAAGCTGGTCAAGTAATAACAGTGCTTGGAAAAGAGTAAGAACATTGTTGAAACTTTGTAGTTTATTATTTTATGTTACAGCTTATTTTATTAAAACTTTTTATTTTAGAGATTTTACACAATCTTCAATGTGGTATGGAGTACTGCCTGGAGGAACATGTGGTGTGTTTGATCCCCACGAGACGGAACCATTGGTAGAATCAGAGGTATGTTGGCAACATTATATTTGGTGCTTTTTTATGCTTTTTTTTAATGTTTTGTTTATCATTTCTCTTATCATTAGTTTGCGTATAAAGGTTAATTTTTCTGGGCTATTTCTATTGATTTTATTTATGATAACAAATTACAAACCTATTGTATTCATTCTATATTCTGTTTTTCTTAACAATATCACCTAACAAGTTGTTAGTATTTCATTTAAAAAACTTATCTTCTAGAAGAGATTATTAACAATGAAATAGATTTTGAAATTAAGAATTTTTTAAATAAATAATTGGTCACTATAGCTTATTATGGTTTGGGGAAAGCCATATAAAATTAACTATTGGGCCATATTATTGCATTAAAAAAGTATAGTTTAATTTCGGGTTATATACTAAAAACGGTGGTATTAAATTAAAAGTACCAATCACCTATGTCTAGAAGAAAATATTTAAAAGGGTGATATTCATTAGTAATCTGTAGGTGCTAATTCTATTTACTATGTGACTAACATATTCCTGATGCATTTGTGTCACTTGACGACACATAACCACAGTTTTCCGTACACTTAGCGAGCTTTGCCTGGTTCAATGTCACCGTCACGCAACGCAACGCGAACGTCTGCAATTTCACGTTCTGACCACAAACGTCACACGTACACCGGCAAGAGAACGATACATCGTAGCATGATATCCAGTCCCCAAGGTGATGTGAAGCATACAGGACACGTTGGTGTAGACGGTGCTGTCTTCGGCGATATAGCATTCCTCGATCCTGCAGCATGCGTGAGTATAACATTAAGACACTCGCCATTTAAAGTCACGGATGTCAAAAAATGTTTTTCACTCCAATTAAAAGGAATAGGTACAGTCAGCCGCATTAATATTTACACATTATAAACCTTTAGAAACTTGTATAAGCTTTCCGAGTTAAAAATACGACGAATTTGTCAATATTTCCTTTTTTATTGTTTTTTTTTTTGTGTACGCATGTTTATGTAAGCGTTATTTTTATGCATTGCCTGTTTTCTGTTCGCTTTTAAAAGAACTTGTACTGGGGCATCTCAAGTTTAATATATTTTCTTCTTAAGACCGACAAGGATTCTACAGTTCCCCTGGTGTTTCGGATTTCTATGGGCATCGGACCAACTATGATTAAGCGAACTGCTGCTCATTTGTGTCTCTCCTATAAAATATGTATTGCAATGCTAATAAATGTTTGTTCAATTATACAAAAATTGTGCGAAAATAACATGTCTCGTTTTATAAGAGCTTTTTTTGTTTATAATTTTTCTTTCAGACATCCTGTCAAGTCGTTACACAGTACAAACCATCGGACGATTCAGAACAAGTGCCACTTTTAAATCCTAACTCACCATCTCACCTATCTGGAGCAATGTGTATGCCGCCTTATCCTATTTTAAAAGCCACATACACAGAAACGAAACACGATCGTGATGAAGTTGATTTATCATGTAAGTATCTCTTTAAAGTAAACATTATAATATCTATTTTAATTATGTCGATAAGTTATTTTATTTATAAGTTCAATTATTTTTCTTTCAGACACTGATAAGAAGCACAAAAGTCACAAAAAGAACAAACTTAAATCACTTTCTGAACCATCTACAAGCAAGGGTATTTTCAGTAAGGTAAAACAATTTTCTATTATAATATTTATTGTGGTCTTCCACATAAATATATCTAGATATTTATTTACTCTTCATGTTAAAATATTTGAAACTGATATTTTATAAAAATTAATATTATAAATGCGATAGTTTAGATAGATGGATGGATGTTTTTTGAAGGTATCTCCAGTACGGCATGGATTTCGCTGAAATTTGGCATAGATGTAGAACATAGTCTGGAAGAACACATAGGCTACTTATTAAGTTTTTTTTTTAATTCTGCACGGACAGAGTCGCGGGCGACAGTTAGTATTCTATAAAAATAAGTTGGTAGCCTTTTTCGACAGCTAGTTTATAATAAAGTATAGATTAAAGAGATGTTCAATAAAACAAATACAGGTCAAAAGTGCATCACTGGGACGTTATCACAAGAATGATGATGTCCAGCCGGTGTGCACTTGCTCCGGTAGTGAGGTGCACGAGTACCACGAGATATCTGACACTGATACAGTAAGAATTATTTATTTATAACACTCAATATAGTACTTAAATTAATTGTTACTTAAACAACTATTAATCAAGTTTGTCTTGATATACTTAAGGGTCTTTTTCACTGTAACTTCAAAAATTTTAGTGGACAAGAGGATTTGCATCATAAAATTTATAAAACGAGTTGATCTTTCTTTGTCTATTTCATATTTACATGTTTATTGATGCATTATATTACAATTTGTTTGTTCTACACATGTTATAATTTTTATTTCTTATAGGAAGGTACAGCGGCAGAATTGATAAAGTACGATAATTTTGCAGTACCCGATAGTCCGGTATGATTATATAATTTCATCAATTATAATTTTTTTAATTATTTATTCTTTAGTTCCATACACTTTGCCGTTTTTTGGTTTTGGAAGATGTATGTAAATCCTATATCAAAATGATTTACCAAGATTACCTTTTGTTTTGTATAAGACTTTTAGCTCACGCTGTATGACAAAGCTGACAGTCAGACTAAAATCAGCCTGATATTTAATTTTTTAATCTAAAATTAGACGTTACTTGGACGATTCACTGTTGAAAGCGTTTAGGCTTTATTAAATTACATTTTAGTTAAAATAAAACGCAATTTGTTTGTAAATTCAGAAAAGCTGCAACGACTTTGGACAGAGTTTGATCGATGAGATGGAGCATCTATTCCGGAATCTCGACACCAGAAAACGAGATGATGTATGTATTTTTTTAAAACAAAGATTAGAATTTGAGTGTACGAGCAGCCTTATATAAAATTGAAGGTCATTTGTCTGGAATAAGTTGAAACAAATCGGTGAAAATAGTTACACTATTTGGGCACGTGTTTATGCTGACGTTTATCTGTTGTTTTATTTCTTAATTTTTTTTTTCGATATTGTTTATCAAACATATTATTTAGTTTAATTCATTATTCAGGTTACATACGTTTGCTGAATTTCGGGTAAGACATAGGTCTTTTACAGTGAGTTTAATATTTTTAAACATATATTTAGATTATTCAACATCAATAAATATTAAGCATAGACTTTCGCACCGTAATTACAGTCGATATGATATAAAAGCAGATTTATAAAAAAAGATTAGTAAAAATTATTTGGTGCATGTTTATTATAAAAATAACTTTAATTTGATTACATATATTGATGTTGAATAAATAGGAAGTGTCTTGCATAGCTTTGTATTCATTATTTGAATTCATACATTTTAAGTAAGAAATTTCACATGTCTAGTAGTTTTCCTAATCGTTACATGTCATTGCTAAACAATCGTTTGAGCACTCGTTAAAACTATAATTTATCAAAACTTTGTATACTAAAAAAGAGATTTTAATGAATTTGTAAAAATATTTTTATAACCATAATTTTTGTCGTCATCATATGTGGAATTAACTAATCCAATTTAAATCGGATAGTGAATTATTCGTTGCTTTAGAATAGATAAAAAAAAAACAGATTTTGTTATTATTTTATAAGAAGAATAACATGTGATTGTAGATTAGAAGTTTCGTTGTAGTAACGAGATTGTATAAATATTTTTTTTAGTTTCTTGTATATAATACAGTGCTAATAAAATTAGTTTTTTTATTAGTAATAGAATTAAAAAAGTTCTTGTTTATAGTTTAAGATTTTTTACTCCTTACTTTTTCTTTATTTTACAGGGCATCGGCAAACATTTTGATTTCGACAACGCAAGGTACGTTTAATTATTTTACACTTATTCCTAAAGTATAACAATGTTATATTTAAAAATGTTGTGTTGTTTGAAATATTTTGTAACTTTTTAATATGTTGTTCAGACCTCACACGCTTAGCAAGGCGGATAAGAAAAAGGGCGGCAACACAGGGACTATGAAACTGATGTCAGCTCATGACGAGAGAACTCTAGATACAGCTGTAGCACTTGCCAATGAGATAACTACAAAGTTTGTAAAGATTTTAACTTATACGTTAATACGCGTCAATCTTGTTGGCCTCAAGGTCAACTGCGCAGTGCCCATTCCTCGTTTCCCTTTAAGACTACGCCTAACAATGTATTCTTAAAGTGACATAATTTTCTATTGCATTGAAGAAAATATCCATCAAATAAAATGAAAGACATCGTTTATTACCTCTTATAAGCGATGTCTTACGCATGAGATTTTATGAGACATTCCTTTACTTACCATGAATATATTTTTTTTCTGTTTTTCATAAAGCATAAAGGTAATGATAAAATGATTTCATACAACTGTTTTGACAATTGAAACAACTACATGTTTAATTTACAGATCTATGAATGACCTTGACGGTGACCAGAGGGCGCCAAGCTCGCCCAATGATCGTTCTAAGTTCCATTTCAAGTTTCCTCTGGTATCGCTACATCAGAGCGGAGCTCATGACGCCGAGTCCGGTAAATTAAAATATTACACTAGAGTTGAAAATATATTTTCTTTGTAATTTTTCCGTATGGCGAGTCGGTGGTATTGAAAGTGTTAAGGACTTATGTATTTTTCAGGCAAACATGAACGGCGTAATTTCAGCGAAGAAGCAAAAAGCGTACCGGATCTTCAAGTAAGTAATATTAATAAATCTTAATATAGGTTAAAGGTACAGTAAAGAACTTTAAAAAGGAAATTTTGATTACTACCATATTTTATTCCATTTAGGAAACTATATCATTGGAAAAATCCACTGATAAAAGCCATATAACCATAACCATAAAACTTCCTTTTAATCGTCCAATTCAGGTAATTACATACATTGAAACTTCATTTCTATTTTAAATCACATTTTTTGTATTCACAACAGTCGACAATAACAGCGGAAAGCAAACTCGCTTATACAAGCCTGATTGAGGATCCAATGCCATCTACATCTCTCATTTCTCACATGGAGATGACACACAAACCTGCCACCATACCGAAACCCGCGCCACGTTTTAAAGAACCACGCGCAAACTTTCTGTCTCTGCAGAAACAGCTGCCGAATAATAATCAGTAAGTTTTACTCTAAATTATGTATTTACATTTATTATTGGAGTTATAGACCATTATAAAGATACTAGCTGTCACCTGCGACTCCGTTCCCGCGGAATGAAAAAATAACTAGTAGGCTATGTGTTCTTCTAGACTATGTTCTAAATGTATGGCCAATTTCATCGAGATCAGTCTTACTGCAGATACCTTCAAAGAAACATCTATACATCCATCCAAATATTAATAATGTTAGTAAGATGGTATCGTCAATGTAAATTTACTAATTGGTTTTAATTCGCATTTACAATGCATATGGCAACATGTACAGTTACAAATCAATAAAGTAATTCGTACAAACATATTGTTATCTCTATTTTATTATAGAAAATAAGAGAAATGGCTATAGTATTTCTATAAATTGTTTTTGCGTTGCAAACTTGTAATAATAATAATCAAATTAATATTTCAGACCGTCATCATCAAAAGAAGCTATGGGACAGCAATTGCATACTAATCATGTAAGTTTTAAGATTTCATTTTGCACAATGGAAATTATTTACAATTGTAATCCATTTATTCGATTGTAGGAAATATTACATCGTTTATTAATAAGAAATATATTTTTAAAAATAATTTTATTTATTTTAAGGTGATAAACGAGCTGCCCCTTCCACCGAGAAGTACGAAACCTAAATTGATCGATAAACCAAGACATATAAGGAAATATCCTTTGAAATTACCCAACTCCAACCCAAGCCCAGAGGTTGCACCTAAAGCTATCAACAATGATCAAAATAATCAGGTTATTATATACCAAAATGCTGTAACTTGCACAATGAAACAGAGGAATGGACAGCAAGAAAACGGTCAAAGGACCTATGATCAAGGAGTTGACGTTTTTGATGGTCCTTCGACTGTTAATGTGGATACAAATCCATTTACTAATACGACAGGACAACGCTACCCGAATCCATTTAACTCCCCCTTGGAAGCAACAGATACTGAAGATGTATGCACGTGTGATGAAATACAAAGGAAATATGTTGTCAAAGATATTTCCGAAATAGGTTACTTATCACAATACACAAAAAAAACTGGTACGATTACATTTTTTAAACATATATTTATTTATATGAACTCGTGTGTTTCTTATATTTCTGGTTAAATATCAATTATCTGATTTTCTTATAGATTATGTATCGGTTGAAGATTTACTTGAATTTGCGAATCAAAAGCCTTGCGGTCGGCAGCGTGGTGTTGAGTCTGATGAAGTTCGGATCATGAATAAGGTGCTAAAAGAAGAGGTAGGTGGTAAAGAATTGAATGTAGCCTGAATTCATCAAAGAAAAACTAGATTAAAAAAATATAGGCCGCATTAATTATTCATTCGGTATTTTATGAACATAAATTGCCATTAAATATTTTTTTTACTTTTTCCAGTAAAAGGTTATAATAAAATTACTGTAACTAAGTAACCGAGAGATAGGCATATACTAAACAGTATAACATTTAATAATGTTAGATGATTAGCTCTAATGAAATATTGTATTTTGTTAGACCTATTGGAACTTGCCCTATTTAATTGATAAGATAAAACGACAGCCCTTGACCCAAATGTGTAGAGAGATAAGTGATTACTATTTGGCAACGTTCAGAGATGCATTTTCTTACACATATTTGTTAAACCTAAATATTTGTTAATGTACTATAAATGTATGCATTTCTTTAATATTTTTATGCTTTAAAAAAAGGATGAATGGTGTCCAAGCTACAAGTAATGGTAAAAAAAAAGATTTTAAGAGAAAAATTGAATCTCGTTTTTGACTACAACAATGGATTCAACTCTTTTGTGTTAAATAGTGGATGAATAACTTAAGAATTGTATAAAGTTTAATAATGCAATCAAGTTTTATTGAAGATGTATGGAAAAGTAGTACATACTGTACAGACTCTTTGTAGGAACATATTTAAAATAATTGAATGTTACTAATATTACAAATGCGAATGTTTAGATGGATGGATATTTTGTAAAGGTATGTCCAGAACGACTGAACGGATCTTAATTAAATTTGTCGTAAATATAGAACATAGTCTGCAACACATAAGCTACTAATTATATTTTTTTTCTAATTCCGAACGGACAGAGTCGCGGGCAACAACTAGTCTATTTATAAATACGTTTTCATTCCTCTTCCTCTGTATAAAGTATGTCACCGACAGCGAATAATCGGAAACGTCAGTTCTATAATGAATTGTGTCACGTCGCTAGAAATATGTCAAGTAAAAATTGTAAAATCTACATATTTTATAATACATTTTGAATAAGTATGTCAACGGTACTTTAGGATTATAGGTAGTTCACCCAGCAGCCACCCGACACCTGAGCACGGCGTCTACGAGTGGCTCACAATTTAGAAAAAATATGTTATGAATTTAAGCTTTGTGCGCTATTCCATACTTTTTATTTGTTTCAAATTTCAATCAGATCCGATCAGTCGTTTTGTAGTTATAGTGTATATTGGATTAAATATGATTATTACATTTCGACCACAGACAACACCAGAGGAATGCCTTGAAGCTCTTGAGCTGAGCGACTGGAACGTGCACGAGGCCATCAAAATAATAATGGTAAAGCGATCGGTGATCGCCCCGCAAGTGACACTTGAGGATTGTATGCGAGGACTCGCTCACACCGCCGGAGACATAGCAAAAGCTTCCGCTGCCATTGTTGCATATTTAACTGAGATAAGACAATAAATGCTAAAATAAATTTTGTGTTTCATTTTGTCTAAGAGAGTTTGGTGCCAAGGAATCATTATGTTGTCCATCATGGTAAAAGAGAGAAAACAGCAATAGATCAAATAATATAAAAGAATCATGGGTTCGAAGCCTGGGTTGCATACAAATAATAAAAAAAATGTAATCTAATTTCTTACACATACGAGAATACTTATACATAGATGTCCCTATTACATAAAATGACCTCAAATAGTTTGGAGCAGGAGCCCCGTCGACTGCTTCAGAAATCAGAAATTCGGGTCAGGTCATGACCCAATACATGATACCCGCACGGAACAATGAAACAAAGAGAAATGTTTTAGTGTAAATATTATTTATACTAAAAAAAGTATATATATTTTACTATTATTGTAAATTTTTGTTTTTCTTGTCATTCATTATAGAAGAGATAAAAGCCATGTGATAAGTAATGTAATTAGTATTAGTCCTAATACGGAACCAAAAGTTCCATTGCAACATACGAATGTTAGCGTTACATTACAAAGTTGTAATGAAAAAATATATAAATTAGCTATCTATTGGCATAAAATATAATCACAGGACATGCAAGCTGAGGAACTACATATTACTGTTTTTCAAATAAAACACTCATAGCCTTTTGTTTATTATAGTATGCAATCAACGTTAATAGTATACAAGTATTAGTAAAATAAACAAATGCATAACTATTCATCTTGATCAATGGAAACAACTTTCCATCGTTGAACGTCTCACCTCAATCGGGCCCCCAAACACATGGCCGATTCAATTAGGTAGAGGCAGCGTTGCTCACACCACCAAAGTTTGGATAACGTTACTCAACTGTCATAAAGTACCAATATACAACGACCTACGAACCTAGTCAAACTTTTCTTTAATCTCATACCAATATGAATTGTTATAACGTCACTGTAGAGCAAGTTTTTCTGGTGACCTATTTAACGCTGAACGAAAAGCTACTCACGCACACATCAGAAAATTATGCAACGAAATTGAGTCGTCCCTATGTAATTCTCACGCTCAAAATCATGATATAAGTATGGTTGCTTTTTTAACTATGTACTTATGATGTATGAGACTACCAAATAATTAGTTTCTAGGTGTCATGCAGGGAGTCTGGATGTATTAATCATTCATAAAATTATAATAACTTACGAAGAAAATCCTCGTATTCAATCAAAATAAAATAATGTAGATATATGTAAAAGGAAATACAATTAAACAAGTGTATTTAAACAATAAGTAAATAGTCTTCAAGATAATATATTTGTAGATTTGTGGAGTCTTTGTGTTAACCGCATATCAGTCCGCAAGAGTAGGTAGAGTGGTATCGGCGCATGCGCGAGTTTTTCGGCCTAGATCTCGTCCGGGGCCGGTGTCGGTGTGTGCGTGCATGCGTGCATCGCGCGGGCCGAGGTCCCCGCGCGTGTGTTGGTGCGCCACGTAGGACGCCGCTCGACCCAGATCGCGGCGCTGTCGCCGCTCGCCGCTCGCCGCATGCTCCACACTGCCGACTGGGATGGCGAACAAGTTTCACAGCATTTTCGCACTGGAAAATGTCTCCAACGATTACTAATGATTATTTCATTCAATGAACCCAATCTCACATACCGCAATACGCAACTCTAGAGCTTAAGTAAAGCAAGATACATTAGTAACTACGTAACTGACATCTTTTTACACTTTCACGCCTTAATAGGATAGACAAATACTCCCGGTCTATTATACAGTCTAGAACTGTATTGACAACTCACTTAATACTGAGGCTTCTTAATAACCTTACAATGATCGTGGTCGATGATCGATTGTATTGGGAAAATATGTTATGAAAAGATCAGAGATTTCCACTTTAGACATAATACGATCAGCAGCTTCATTGAGGTACGTAATCTAATTTCTGCCTACTCAAGAGGCTTTCCATATTCTCACCTGCAACCATAATACCTTGCATCCTCTAAGCAGTAATTTGAAGTACCTCCATTCTTACCGGATATAGCGGACACACTCAGGGCCGCTTGGGTCGCGCCCGACTATGCGACCTCGCACCTACTCACTGGGCCCGGCAACTTTCGCTAAGACTAAAAGAGATGCGTTTGTGTGTTGAAAGTGCGTACGACTATCTACACATTGCAGACGATAAGCTGTACCTCTGTTTTGGTTGTGTTAGGAGAATTAATGCCGTAGCACTTATGGGATTTTCTTTCCTACGGTTACAATGTGTAATAAAATCAAGTTGGCGTTCTCATAGAGTTGCTACTTTAAAAGTTCTCAGTACCCGATGTCCAATACATTTTCATAGAAGTCCTCGCAAAAAAGTACCAAAAATCTTACTATTATTATAAATGCGTAAGTTTGGATGTTTGTTAGAAAATATCACCAGAATGATTCAACGGATCTCGATGAAATTTACCATAGATTAAGTATTTTCTTTTAATTCCACGCGGATGGAATCGACGGCGAGCACTACGTCTCATTTCATTAAGTTTAATAGGAGTGAAAGTAGGTTAACCTTAGCCTATCCTTCTTATTATCTGAGTTTTTAATTTCACTAAATCTATCTCCAACTAACCTCATAAAATAACACGCAATCACTTGCAACTAAATGTTTATGGTTAGAAAAGTATAACTAAATGTTAGAACGTGTTAATGTTGGCACTGGTATTTTTGATTACCCACGGACATGTCTTGTTGCGTTATGTAAATGGTCAGAGGTTGGATTTCAATTGCGCGTGACACTTACAACTCTAGCGGCATCCCGTGATGTCTACGTATATGCTCAACTTGACGTCTCTGCCCACATTTGTACATGGTAGTGTGTGGGCGACGCAGCATTTTATTCTATTTAACTATATCGAACCAATCTAAATACCTACATTTAATATATTGAGGCCCTTCGGACACGAAGCAACGTAAATCTTTGAAACCCAGTGATTATAGTCGCTACGCGATTTACTCGATGCCGTGTGATTTCGTACAAAGCGCGCATCGCCGATTTATCTGTCATCGCCAAAGACAGTTGCTAGCAATTTATTTGTCAAGATTGTCATAAGAAAAGTTGCTGCAAATTTCAAGATGGTGGCGGAACAAATCTAGGCAGTTGACTTGTAGTCGCTATACCTGTACAGACCGAATAAACGATACGCGTCGACGATTCAACTTTGTATGGAAGGAGCGCGCTCAACTGGAATTTCGCGACCCAACTATACAATATTAATTTCGACGATTTACGTTGCCTTGTGTATACAGAACTTAAGAGAAATGCGCTGTCCGAGTAGCGAAAAAACTACTCCAGTAACAAGAACGAAAGGGTTTTTAAACAATTGCAATTATTATTACCTGTATTAGTCCACTGCTATAAATAGATCTTCTCCAAAGATCTACGTATACGGTCAGTAAATCGATCGATTTTAAACAGTGAAGATGACGAATTTCTTAATAGTACTTATTTAAAAAGTCTCTATAAAGTCTATGAGACCCTTTTAAAAGAGCAAATGTCCTGTAACAAATGTACACAACCTGAAAATAAAAAAAAATCTTAGTGTATCTCAGCTATGTTATAAAAAAACTAAGATATTTGCAACATTTATATATCTTTGTATTCTAATTATTACTACAGGTATTGGTTTAAATTACGTGTGTATTTAATTAATAATTGTAGTATAATAATTGTTAGAAAGTTAGATTGCCCGTGTTCCAACGATGATTTACTTTGCGATGGCGCTCTCCATCCGCATCAGTCATCTGTAGCGACTGAAATCTTTTTGTTCTCTGTGAAACTCTGCAGAATTCGAAATGGGTTAAGATAATCTCTTATATACTTTTCAACGAATATTCTGTATATTTTTCCGTGTCTTTGTTCGAAGATATAAACCGATGTAAATAAGTTTGTCTTGCAAGAATATTCATATAAAATATTGCATTTCAAGTATTGTAGTATATAACTAATTTATGAAGCAAGTTAGGGATCTAGTTACTTGTTAGATCTTGAATAGATGAAGTTAGTAAAACCATTTCCGGTAGGTTATGCGTTGATGTCAATAGGTTATCCTTTGTACAATTATGTAAAACACATGTATATAACAATGTAAAAGATATTTTAGTGTGATATACTTAACAATAACAACATTGTAACATCCTGGCAGATTAGACAGATACATGTCTTATGCTAAATACATAGGATAACAAAAGATACGACTTTATTTACGACATTTGCGTCCCACTTTAACTATTCTATTTATATATAGAATTATGAAACACTATCGAGAATAAAAAACGGTGAATGAAATAATTTGAATAAAATATACAAATGAGGATAACGGTACAATTTTACGTCAATAGAAGACCCAGATAACAAATTAAATTCCACTCCATTTAGCAACAGCTAGGGATCATTCAGATATATAGTAACAAGTTTATAGAAGAAAAAATTCAATTGTCCTAAATATTATAAAAATATATAATCATGCTTAAATACACAACTATAACATATTAAGTATCAGATTTAACAATTAAGAGACGTTCTTCGTTCGAAGAAACAGTACATGTTACTGTATTTAATTTAAACAAAAGACTGACCTAATAAGTTGGCTGTTTGAATATAATGATAATGAGAGTAAAATTAACCAGCGTGTCTATACCATTCTATGTCTAAGATCATTTATTAAAATTGAATTAAAATGAATTGCGTTATTTTTATATGTTACACTTTTAATTTATTTAAAAATAAACATAAAACTGCAGATACGGAATCGACAAATATTTATCGCCTTCAAATTTATGTTCTGTGGAGTTGAATGAACTGTTTATTAAATCTTCGCATTGGGATTGTGATTCATTTATTCTAGATAGACGAATTCGCACCGGTCGGTCACCATTGGAAGCATCTAGACATATTCGTAGATTCTCTTTGTTAAACGAACTGCGACAAAGGGTAACGTCACTATGTAAGAAAACATCCAGTTCTATGGGATTCTGATTGCTGACAAG